CATACTGGGACAGGCGTAGCTGCACTGATGGATGCTGATGAGGCTGCTCTAATGAGGCTGCACTGATAGGTGCTGGTGAGGCTTCTCTGATGAGGTTGTGCTGCTGGGTGCTAAAGATGCTGCACTGCTGGGTGCTGATGAGGCTGCAGTGCTGGGTGCTGATGAAGGTGCACTGATGGGTGCTGATGTGAAGTGGTGAGGCTGCACTAATGGGCACTGATGAGTTTGCACTGATGTGCACTAATGCACTGCACTGAGGGTACCCTGATAAGCTGGCACTGATGTACACTGATGAGGTGGCACTGATGGGTGCTAATAAGGATTCACTGAGGGTGGCGCTGATGTGCACTGATAGGTGGCACTAATGTACACTGATAAGCTGCAGTAATGAGGTTGCACTGATGGTAACTGAGGATCACTGATGTGTACTGATAAGCTGCAGTGATGAGGCAGCACTGATGGGCACTGATTAGCACTAATAAGTTGCAGTGATGAGGCAGCACTGATGTGCACTGATAAGCTGCAGTGATAAGGCAGCACTGATGAGCACTGATGGTCACTGATGAGCACTCACTGATGGGCACTGATGTGCACAGATGGGCACTGATGAGCACAGATAGGGCACTGATGGGCACGGATTACAAAAAAACTCACTGTAGCAACTGATTCTCTCTCCTTACACTCGGTATTGGTGTGAGAAAAGGAGAGAGAAGACCGAGGCATGACCCCTCTGTGTTTATATTTGTGATCATTTGTAATTGGACAAAGCAATCATGTGGTAAAGGGCCACTGTGATTGTAATCTCCCCCAGGACGTATCGCATGTAGGGGGTGGAGCTACATATCTGATGTTATCCTGTGGCCATCTTGGAGAGATGTGACGAATCTGTATATGCTTTGTACTGTGCACTATGGAGTGCCACAGCTTGTACGTCTTTTAGCAGTAAAGAAGTTTTATCAACAGTATACGCAATGGGCTGTCTTTCTTGTATCTTTGCATGAGTATTATACAACATATCATAGAAGAAGCAACAAGTGAATGGAAAAAGTTTATTGGACCACCAATTTGCTCTTAAAGGGGAAGCACTTATGACTTACTCTTTGCGCAGTAGTCATTAAACTGAGGCCAATCTGTGTGGTGGTGTTTCAGGCTCTATTGGTGTTTTACACAAAGATTTAAAAGAGTTTTCACACCATTTGGATTTTTGGGATATTTGCTTAACACTATATTTGGAAACCAGATGGACATTTTAATTATATGACTGTTTTATGTAGTTGACCTACACTATTATTAACAATATAAGCAACTATAGTGCCTTGAAACAGTATTCATACCTCTTGAAATTTTCCACATTTTGTCATGTTACAACCAAAAACGTAAATGTATTTTATTGAGATTTTATGTGATAGACTAACACAAAGTGGAACATAATTGTGATGTGGAAGGAAAATGATACATGGTTTTCAAAATTTTTTACAAATAAATATCTGAATAGTGTGGCGTGCTTTTGTATTTAGCCTCTTTTACTCTGATACCCCTAACTAAAATCTAGTGGAACCAATTGCCTTCTGAAGACACCTATTTAGTAAATAGAGTCCACCTGTGTGTAATTTAATCTCAGTATAAATACACCTGTTCTGTGAAACCCTCAGAGGTTTGTTAGAGAACATTAGTGAACAAACAGTATCATGAAGGCCATACAACACACCAGGTCTATCACATAAAATCCCAATAAAATACATTTACATTTTTTGTGGTAACATGACAAAATGTGAAACATTTCATGGGGTATGAATACTTTTTCAAGGCACTGTAGCTTACTGGATTGGTGCTATATTCAAAATACTTTTATTAGTAAAGAATAATTTCATTTTGGTGTTAACTAGCATCCAAGTCAAATAAAGATGGAACAAACTTTCCCACATTAGACAAGTGGTTTGGGAAGGATTCAACAAGAAATCAGTTTCAGTTGGTGTTAACTAGCATCCAAGTCAAATAAAGATGGAACAAACTGTCCCACATTAGACAAGTGGTTTGGGAAGGATTCAACAAGAAATCAGTTTCAGCACTAGTATATGCTTTTAATAAGCCTATGTCCTCCTCTCTGGATGATTTCTTAATATAGGAGATTGAAGATTTTAGTGTACTCTATAAATAGGCTTTAAAAGTGAAAGAGAAAAACTGCTAGGATAACCTACGTGGTATATTGCAGACTTTATGGGCACCACATGCGACCACACATATTATTATAAAAACATAAATACTTTATTTGTACAAACAGTAAAAATGGACACATCAGAGGATAAGGTCCTATTAAAAAAACAACAGGGAATTTCCACTAAGTGCACAAACTCCACAGAATAGAAACATTACAAAATATATAATGTTAGATGTGTTCACAATATTCAGATTCAACAGTCGATGCATTTTGCATAAAGCTTCTTCAGGACCAAATATTTGAGAAGGTGAGACACTAACAGCATAAAACAATAAAGAACAAATTAGATAGTAATAATGATATAATCAAAATATTAAAAGAAAGAGCTCACATGGGTGGGGCAGACTGCGACAGGACCCAACAACACAGACTTGGGGGCAAACATAGGGGAATCAGAGAGGATTAACCAACCATGATGCACATGCATATGAGGTGGAGATTAAATAAATCAGAGATGCTCTAAGGTAAGCCAACAATCTTAAATATAATTCATTCATACAAATACTAGATGAATAGAACAAGCACACTTGACACCCAAGCGCTGAGAAGTGAACAGAGGCACCCATCATATAAACGTGATAGGCAGTCTAGTAAAAACCAGGGTATAGAAAGGGAAAAGGCAATGCAGTCCTCATCAGATCAGGGGAATCCAGCACTGTACAAAACACAAACAACAGAGAGGGGGCAAACACCTAGTGCATCAACATGACATTTTATTGTACAAAATAAGTATAAAGTATACTCACAAATGTCGCAAGCTTAATAGCATAAAAATGCATAAAGCCACGTAGAAATATCCACTCTCCAACGCCACTGTCAGGAATGGATTCAGCATTGGTGGTGGGACTCTCCTGCCGTGTGGGCTGCAGTACCAGAGCTGACCAGCGGGTGCTCCCAGCACTGGTGGTGGGACTCTCCTGCCGTGTGGGCTGCAGTACCAGAGCTGACCAGCGGGTGCTCTTAGCAGCCAGAAGCTCACAATCAGCCAAACCTGGGGCTGATTACAGAAAGGTGTATATAAGGCATGACCAGGCCTGTGCGCTGAGCCTTGGTGTATGTCTCCCCATGTGCCCCTGTATCCTGTTCCTAGTTCCTGTGAGAAGATACCTTGTTGCCGACCCTGTCTGATCCTGATTCCTGTTGACCGTCTCCTGTTCTGACTACTGGCTCATCCCCGACCATCCTTCTGCCTGATCCTTTGTACTGCGCTGTCCGTGAGTTACTGAACCCGGCTTGTGACCTTGACCATTCTCTGCCTGCTCCTTTGATACCTTGCTGCCCGCACGTTGCTGACTTGGCCCGTCTGACCACGCTAACTACTCTGCCATCCATCCATCCTGCACGGATCCAGCCGTACCTGCACATACCTCTGGCGGATCCCTCTATCACTAGCAGGTGTACTCAGGGGCCGCGACCTGGTTCCTGTCTGCTCCAAGTCCATCCCCACCATCAGGGGCCCTGGTGAATAGCAGACTGGGACTTAGACTCCGCGCCCTGGGGAATCCTGCCCTGAGGACCGCTAGAGGTACCACCAGGCAGTCGTTACAGAACCCTACGGCCGGCCTGACCATTCCACCTCTCCAGCCCTGACTACGCCTGTGTTCCTGCACCTCCTAAGATTAATGGAAGGTTAGTTTGTTCACTGTGCGTTTTATATATATATATATCTGGGTGGCTAATAACCTGTATTATACTATACCTGAAACCTGCGTTTCCCTGTGTCAGTCCGCACCTTTCTGGTCATTCCTTGATTCCTGACATCACACCAAGGCCTTTCCTGACCAGAAGTGGCTGCACAGGGAAGCCATCTTGACTTGTGAAGGATGCATCCTGATGAGGTTATATATTTGTCTATGCTAGTCTTTGATGACAGGGAATATGCCTATCAGACTCTGCGGGAGTATACCCGGGATCAGCTGCTAGAGTGCATACGGGTCGCTCATTCCCTAGTAGGTCAGGACCTAGAGATCTCTGAGGTGCAACCATTGATTCAGGCTTGTATTGAGTTGGCTTCATCTAGTACCCCTGAAAACAGGGATGAATTTCTTCCTCCATTCAGGGCGAGTCAAGTAATATCACTGGTATGGTTGTTGGAGGATGATCCGGATTGCTTCTTGGAGCATTATTCAGCATATTCACCACAGGTGCTAAAGAAATGTATAAACGCAGTGCAAACTTTGATCAGACAGGCCTTGTGTAAGCTGAGCGTTGTCCAACCCTTACTGCAGACATGGTCAGACTTGTTACACCCAGCCTCAATCAGCTTGCAACGAACCAGTCCTGTTTCTCATCATTCCTCTGCTCAAAGCTCTTTTCCTGCATTCCCGACAGCACCCCCAGTGACAGCCCCCCCAGTGACAGCCCAGTATACCCAGCAATCTGCCACATGTCGGTACCCTACTCCCACTCACTGTACCATCCTGCCAGTTGACTCTGTGCCAGTTGACTCAGTGCCCGCTGTTGAGCCGGATGACTTGATGCCTGATGACTCGGTGCCCGTTGTCGCACCAGTTGACTTGGTGCCAGTTGACTCGGTGCCTGCTGTCGAGCCAGATGACTTGGTGCCTGATGATTCGGTGCCAGTTGACTTGGTGCCTGCTGTCGTACCAGTTGACTTGGTGCCAGTTGACTCAGTGCCCGCTGTTGAGCTGGATGACTTGATGCCGGTTGACTCGGTGCCCGCTGTCGTGCCGGTTGACTCGGTGCCCGCTGTCGTGCCAGTTGACTCGGTGCCAGTTGATTCGGTGCCCGCTATCGTACCAGTTGACTCGGTGCCAGTTGACTCGGTGCCCGCTGTCGAGCCAGATGACTCGATGCCTGATGACTCGGTGCCAGTTGACTCGGTGCCCGCTGTCGAGCCAGATGACTCGATGCCTGATGACTCGGTGCCCGCTGTCATGCCAGTTGACTCGGTGCCCGCTGTCGAGCCAGATGACCTGATGCCCGAGGACCCAGTGCCCGCTGTTGAGCCACATAACCTGATACCTGATGACTTGGTGCCCGCTGTCGTGCCAGTTGATTCAGTGCCCACTGTTGTGCCAGTTAATTTGGTGCCTGCTGTCGAGCTTGGTGACCCGGTACCCGCGGTTCTGGTAGAAGGCTTGGTGCCCGCTGACGTGCCAGGTGACTCTGTGCCCGCTGTCGTGCCAGATGACTCGGTGCCCGCTGACGTGCCTCTGCCCGCTACACAGCCCGACATGTCAGCCCCTGATGTCCAGTTAAACTGGCCGATAACTGATACCCAGCCTGCTCCTGGAAATCCTGTGCCCAGTGACCTGCCTTCCTTGGTTCTCCTACACAAAGAGAAGTCTACCAGCAGGAAACCCAGCCAACCGGTTTACTCCGGCAGTAGGATATTCAGCCAGTTACCGGACCCGGGCGGTGGAACATTTTGCCCACTAAGGACTGTTTGGAGCGTCCTGAGGCCGCTCCTTGAGGGGGGGGTTCTGTCAGGAATGGATTCAGCATTGGTGGTGGGACTCTCCTGCCGTGTGGGCTGCAGTACCAGAGCTGACCAGCGGGTGCTCCCAGCACTGGTGGTGGGACTCTCCTGCCATGTTGGCTGCAGTACCAGAGCTGACCAGCGGGTGCTCTCAGCACTGGTGGTGGGACTCTCCTGCCGTGTGGGCTGCAGTACCAGAGCTGACCAGCGGGTGCTCTTAGCAGCCAGAAGCTCACAATCAGCCAAACCTGGGGCTGATTACAGAAAGGTGTATATAAGGCATGACCAGGCCTGTGCGCTGAGCCTTGGTGTATGTCTCCCCATGTGCCCCTGTATCCTGTTCCTAGTTCCTGTGAGAAGATACCTTGTTGCCGACCCTGTCTGATCCTGATTCCTGTTGACCGTCTCCTGTTCTGACTACTGGCTCATCCCCGACCATCCTTCTGCCTGATCCTTTGTACTGCGCTGTCCGTGAGTTACTGAACCCGGCTTGTGACCTTGACCATTCTCTGCCTGCTCCTTTGATACCTTGCTGCCCGCACGTTGCTGACTTGGCCCGTCTGACCACGCTAACTACTCTGCCATCCATCCATCCTGCACGGATCCAGCCGTACCTGCACATACCTCTGGCGGATCCCTCTATCACTAGCAGGTGTACTCAGGGGCCGCGACCTGGTTCCTGTCTGCTCCAAGTCCATCCCCACCATCAGGGGCCCTGGTGAATAGCAGACTGGGACTTAGACTCCGCGCCCTGGGGAATCCTGCCCTGAGGACCGCTAGAGGTACCACCAGGCAGTCGTTACAGAACCCTACGGCCGGCCTGACCATTCCACCTCTCCAGCCCTGACTACGCCTGTGTTCCTGCACCTCCTAAGATTAATGGAAGGTTAGTTTGTTCACTGTGCGTTTTATATATATATCTGGGTGGCTAATAACCTGTATTATACTATACCTGAAACCTGCGTTTCCCTGTGTCAGTCCGCACCTTTCTGGTCATTCCTTGATTCCTGACAGCCACTTGGAGACGAAATGACAACAACCCTCTAACGTGTTTTGGGGACCAAGTCCCGATCCTTAGAGCTATGGCTAGTGTTCTCAGCAATCCATCCTCCATAATATGGCTACCAGTGTAATCTGCCACCTTCCATCGGTGGGGGGGGGGGGGGGGGGGCGGGAGTTGTGAATGGAGGGTGGAGCCTCTTAAAGGGAACCCTACCCAAGGACTAACTTTCATTCTATGTTTAGGGCTTCATGGACATGTGTACCACCACAACACATATAGTTCCAAAGATATATAGTACATTAAATTACATATACCCAGTACAACCATATAAATGGTGGCATAATGAGTAGTAGACAATTCCATAGCATGTTCCTATAGAAGGTAATTAACAATTACTCTGCCTGTCACACATATTGATCCAACTATTGTTCATAACACTGGCACTGATATAAGGCAAAACGCATACTATATTTAAAATATCCCCTTTCTGGATGGTGATGTTTGCATAGGATTCCCCAAGTATCAGAGACACATCACCCGAAAGGTGTGCTTCCGCATCTTGAAATGCACGCCGGCTCCTCACTAAACACCTACTGGAACCATAAGTCCGTCGCCGGAAGTGCGTTACTGCAGCTTCATTCAATGCCATATCTGGACATAGTGATTGCCAAAAAGGGGATGCATTAACCCTTGTGTGTGGCTATTATTACCTAGTATAGCACACTAGGCTGATCATTTTTAAAGGGGAACTTAAATGTTATTAGACTGGTACTATTAAAGCATTAGAATCAGCAATAGCAACATATATAAAAAAAATTGATAGTGTAAAAAAGGGTATGGTTGGTGAATCCAGAAAGCTTATTAGTTGAAAAAGCTTCTTGTTCTTCCTGCCTGTATCGGAATCACCTGTGATCGCTTCTATTTCAAAGACCTTCAAGCCATCCGTGCTCTTCTCATGGGATTCTGCAAAGTGACAAGACACCGAATGTTTGTCGAACTCCTTGAGGATATTCCTCTTATGTTCCCTCAACCTGATTCTCAAGGTACGAGGGATGCAGTCAACATAAAGGAGGCCACAAGGGCAGATACGACTGTATACCACATATTGCACACCACAGTTAATTAACTGTTCAATCTGGTGGACCTTTCCATCTGTACCAATCATTTTTCTATGCCACATAAATTGACATGGCCACTCCACAATATTAACTGCCCTTCTGATCAAAGAGGGATGTCCAGATGGATGTAGCCCTTGACTCTCTGGGTGTTTTTACTCTTCTAGGAGCAATATAACTCCTATGATCTCTTGGTCTCCTGAAGACAATATAGAGTAAGATCTATCTGGGATGGAATTAGTGAGATGTGGGTCCTGTTTGAGGATAGGCCAATATTTGATAAAGAGCCTTTGCATGTTGCTATTAAATCTAGTACTGAACAAGACTATATCCTTTGTGGTTCTTGACTTAACCTCACTTTCCACCATTGGATGTTCCTCATCATATCTAATCCGATATTTCTCAAAAGCTTCTTGTATCACTTTAGCCCTATACCCCTTATCCAGAAATTTTTCTCTTAGCACCTGGCTCATATCTACTGCACGTGCTCCTGAGTCTGCAGAACTGCCCAAACGTGATGTTTCTGATCCATCTTGGGTGGTGGTGGCTATTAGCGTGTAAAAAAAAAGAGTTGCCAGAGGTCGCTTTGAAGTGGGTCTTCGAAATTATTCTTGATTCTAGATCAGAACCCAACTCCAAAAAAAACAGCTTATCGCTGTCTACCATATATGTGCATTCAATGCTGAAGGGGTTACCTTGGCAATAGGCAATAAACTCCTGTAGACATGTCTAACCCTTCCCATATGATGAGGATATCATCATTGTATTGAGAGTATAATACTAGGTTTGCCCCAAATTGGTTATTCCTCTATATATGGAAATGCTCCTAGTAACCCATAAAGAGATTGGCATAACTAGGGGCAAATCTAGCTCCCATTGTCGAGCCCTTAATTTGTCTATACAATACCCCCATAAAAGTGAAATAATTAAGGATTAAAGTGAACTCTATGCTTTGAACAATAAAGTCAGCTTGAGCTGGGTGGATATGCCCGTCTTGGTCCAGAAAAAAAAAAACTGTACCACCTGCAGACCAAACTGATGATGGATGGAAGTACAGAGCGAGGAAACATCCAAAGAATGTCACCTGTAGGAGGCTTGCCACTTGTACTTGGACGAGATGTCCAGCATGTGGCCTAAATCTCTGACATAAGATGATAATTGAACTACCAATATAACTCCAGATATTGCTGGTTAGGCTGTCAATACCAGTAATGATGGGTCTTTCCAGAGGGTTAGTGACATGTTTGTGAATTTTAGGAATGTGGTAAAAATGGGGTGTTTGGGGGTATGATTTCAATTTGTGAAGGATTTTCTTCTCCAAGGTCCGATCTAGGGGTCCTTTGAATGTCTGTCTGTATGCTATTACAAGATCCTCCAACAGCCTCTCATGCATGTTAGAGTCACCCAGAAGTCTTCTGGCCTTCTCCAAATAGGCTTCCCTTTGCTGGATTACTAGGCCTCCTCCTTTGTCGATGGAGGTATTATTTTTGTGATCTTATAATTTTCTTTTTTGTTTAGGTGACATTTATCCCTTAAGATCTTTCTTAGTATCTTCACATATTTTGATCAGGTCAGCATAGACAACTTCATAAAAAGGTAGAAATGAAATTTCCCTTGGCACCATGGGGATAGAAAGTGGACCTAGGTTTGAAGTTGGTGTGCTGTATTTCTCCAATACTAAGGTTCTCCCAAGGGAATTCCATAATGAAAGTTTCCTTAGTATTTCTTTCCTTCCACAATTCTTTTAAGACCTCCAGTGCAATGATATCTTGTTCCTCGCAAATTATTGCATCTTTTTCTTCTTCCAAAGTTAACTTGATGTTGTTGTTATGTTTAGTATTGTGAAATCCTTTTACAGTCAGATTCCTGACATGCTTGTTCAAGTCCACAAACAGTTCAAACTAATTTGGAGGGCTCTGTGGTGCAAAATTCAAACCCTTTTGTAAAAAGTGGATTTCACTCTTAGTGAGGATATGTTCAGATAAATTAAAAATCTTAATCAGTTCCACTTTTCCTCTTTTGAAACTTACATTCCAAGTTAAGAATCCTCAATGTTCAGCCATTTTGGCATTGCAGAAAAGTATTCAAAGTGGTATTGTCATAGTTTAGGGGTCAGGCTACGAGACCAGTAACTATAGCAGTAAACAGGCTCCTACTGACCAGCTGGATAAGCACACAAGCAAGTCACCCAGGAGGATGATGCAAGCTCACTCAAGTACTCCTGAAGATAGAGATGGGTTTTGCTGCATATTGAAACCATGTCGCACTCAGAAAGGTTCCACTAGGAGGTGAGCTAGCCAGTGTCCAGTAGCAAATATAGCAGGTAGGGATTAAGCTGAAACACAGTCAGTAAAAAAGCCAAAGATCGTTAACTAGTGGTTGCAGGTTGGAATCAAGCAAAAGCATATTCAAGTAACAAAACAAATGTCGGTAATAAATGGTTGCAGGTTGGAATCAAACAGACGCACAGTTGTGGAATAAACCAAGGTCGGTAACGAGTTTCATGGAAGATACGGATGGCATCAGGAGAGACAAGGGCAAGATATTGGATGGAGAGCAGCACAATAATTTGGCAAACAGGATGTGCAAAGGTATGGTTTCAATAGGAAGTTCATGGGAGGAGCTCTAAGTTCACTGGAAGCAAGGCACAAGGCAGGATTACCCAAAGTATCCGACAGGGCACCAGAGCAGGTGGCTCAGCAAGAAATACTACTGTAGGA